ATTATAAACAGATTAGATTAAATTGTAAGAACAACATGGTTTTACACTTTGGTTCTTATACAGATTAAACAAACAAGGTATATGTATTAATTAGTGAGTTTTAGAGGTTCTCTCAGCAAAGACAAGAATAATTGTCCCAAAATGTCCAATTATTGCCTTTTATCTTGTCACTATACCTTGTTACTGTAACTTTTATGACTACACCCCCTTCTATTTAAGTCAAATTAATTACTGGCTGTTCTCCCAACTCTGTCCATCGCACATAGCTGCCCTTTGTCATCTTAAAATAACAAAACACTATTCCATAAAGAGAAAAGAAATTAATAAATCAAGTATTGTAATAAGTAAAATAATGTCATAATCTCTTAATATCAAAGCTCTTTGACACTTGGATATTTTTCACTTCCACCGTTGTAAGGTGACCGTCATGTTATGTTTTCAGTTAAAAAAAAATTAAATAAAAAGACTTAATACAGCAAAAACTTCTTGAAACACTGTCCATCTTTAATTGCTTCCTCATTATATCCCTCAGAAGGCTGACCAGAAACCAGAAAATCAATTGATATAGTCATCACAGATTAAAAATAATCCCCTTCGTAAATGATATTGTAATAATATAAATTTCCCCTCACCAACCTGTTTGAATAGGATCAACAAATCAAGGAAGAAGTCCCGGCGAAATAAGGCAACAGACGTCCCCATTCGGCATCCAGAAATTTCTCTGAATTCATTAAAAATAAAAAACACAGCTCACCTTTACGAACTCCGCAGTGAGCTTGCCGTTGAAAGTGGACACCTCTCCTTGCACGCTCAGCTTGCCACGTTTAATAGAGAAGGGCACTATTTCGTCGTGAGCGGTACTGTGACCCACTCGTTCAAAGATATCCAGGTCCTTCACCACCACATGGCCGTTCAGACGGACGTCAAACACCTAGAAAAACATATTTCCAAATCAGCAATGTCAAAAAGATAATCCACACACAGCCTAACATTTGTGGTGCCATCAACAGAGTACACCGAGTGCTGCCACCAGTGTGCAGTGAAATGTATATTAAAACTGAAAAAGAGACATGCATTTTAAACTGGATATGAATTAGGGGAAAACAAGAATATAAGCACAAATAAAGAAATGCATACACTGTCCATTCAAACTCTTTATCCTCTGTTATAACTTGCATTTGTTTATTACATATTTATATATGTCTACATTTATTTATGTCAGCTGTATGTCTGTCTGCGTGTAGCACCTTAACACAAAAGAAAATTCCTTGTATGTGTAAAACACTACATGGCAATAAAGCTCCTTCTGATTCTTATCCATGACAACTTTATTAAATACACACACACACACCACACAGATTCATTCATTTTCATACCTTTTGCTGTGACTGGGCAAAGTAAACTTCTGCATACTTCATAACTAGTATATAGTCTCCTTCCTCACGAATGGGAATATCATATCCAAAAGTGTCCTCATTGTAGCGCTCTGTCTGATACAGAATCTGGTCCTCTGGACTGGAGCGCAGTATTGGCAGACGCAACCCATAATCAGATGCTACAAAAAGGACAATAGCATCAGGTTTAGTGTGCACACTTTGCTCACAAGACCGCATTAATAGCTGCATTACTGGAAAACTAATCATGTTTTAAGTCGAGCAAAGTACCAAAACTGCACATTGTGCAAGCCCTGACCTTTTCCTGCACTCAGTGAAACACTGTTCAGTCTCGAATGACACCACATTGTGTTCACTCCAACTTGCAATTACAGTATCTGTGCTTCATAACTGGAGCCAAGAATAACTCTCCACAGTCAATGTGATCATATCATCACCTGCTTCCTGTACATGCGGAGAGGGGCGGAGCTGCAGTCCCCAACGCTGACTCCTCATTAGTTTTGTCGTTACTTGCGGAAGCCAGACTGAGCCATGCACAGGCTATTTTTGTTCTTATAGAAATCTCTGTTAATCTGAGGAACAGTGTTCGCCTTCCGCGACACCTTTACAGGTGAAGCTCAGCAAGACACGCAGACTAACATTAGCAGTTAATAACACCGACTCACCTTTCCCCACCTTCCCTTCCAATGGGTCCTTTTTGAAGTGGATGCCGTGCACGTCCACATGTGCTTCACCTCCGGCATTTACAGCCCAGATAACCCGTTCGGCGAGGCTCTGGCCCCCGCCGTCCGCCCAGCACTGCTCCGCCAGCAGCGACAGCACCGCTGCGACCAGCCCGACGACGAGCTGCGCCGTGACCCGCTGCATTGCCACGCACAGCCTGGTCCTAAACACACAGGGACAGTATGTGCTTACTTGCAGCACAGACTCTCTGCTGCTGTAGGGAAGTAACCTTTCCACATGTAACATCAACCGCATAAGGTTAGCTAGCGCAAAAGGAGCTAGCCAGCTTGTCTTGATGACATGCAACATGATATCTGTAAATTAGCCAGTATGCTAACGTTAGTAGTACCAATACCGGCAGTAGCATTAACACACAGACACCCTGAACATTACAGTGTAATACAAACTACCCTAGCTCAGCGTTAACACGTCCATGATATGCAGCATTAATCAGGAACTAAAAGATCAGGAGAGATCAGCAGCGAGTAACGTTAGTCAGTTTGGGCTAACTAGCTAGCTAGCCTACCTGTCTAACCAGAAATACTTGGTCTGTGATGTGAGAACATTAATGCAAATGTCTCTCACCTTCCTCCTTCCACAAATATCTCCAACCCGTCTTTTGCCAATGTGTGAGCTTCCCTCTGCAGGTGCGGTCTCACCAGGCGGCTGCAAGCTGTACGATAACTTTACTGAGCGCAGATATTCTCAGTCGCTGGTGGACGCAGCCTGCTGCTACACCGACTTTCATTCAATGTGTTCATCCGGACTAACGTTTGCTCCGGCAGCTACAGCGGCGGACAGTTTGCAGGAGGCGGACCTGGCGCTACCTAACCTTAGGATTTCCACCAATGAGTGACAGATACTCTGTCGAATCACATTCTCCTGCTAAGGCTTCCTCAACCATTAAACACCGTTTCCCATCACAGACCAATCACATCCTGCTTTGTTCTAACAACGTAAGAAATTACAAGAACATCAGAGGGCATAACTTTCTGTCCAGATTTCTGCACAGACTCTTCTTACCTTGATTGACAGAAACGGACAAACGGAAGCGCTGTGTCCTTTTTTCCACGTCAAGTGGCCTTTTGAGAAATTCCTGTCCTGAGTTTAGTCTGCCAGGCAGCAGCCTCAATTTGTGCACACACACTTTACACAGAATGGCAGGCAAAACGTTAATCATCTAAAACCCCAAAACTTTACCATTTACATTTTGAAGTTTATTTATTTTTTTTTATACTTTTAACTTAAAAGAACAAAGTAATAAAAAATAAGTACAGGATAGGACTGAACCTAAGTGCTGAATAACTCCCATTTTAAAGTGTTATACATGCAAATACAACTTCCATTATTTATCGATTGTCTTATAAAATTGGTTTCCTTTGCCCAAAGGTTTAATTTATCAAACCTATAAAAGGGTATTTGTAGTGATCTGGGTAGAGTCACCACTTCAACTAACTTACATTATTATTCAGAGACTGAAATATGTATTTAGATATAAACAAATATAGTAATATTTTAAAATGTACAGGCGTTCTTTAAGAAATCTCCACGCCCCCCTCTTTCCGGTATGGTATGCGCCCAGTCTCGTCCAATCAGGAGAGTCCAACGCAGCACGCACACGGTGCACCCTAGAATTGACCAGAAAGGAATGAATGAAGATAGTTTCTATGGGAACAGCAATATCTCTATTGATGACAGGTGTTTAATAATTGTTTTTTTTTTTAATTTTATGTAACACAATGTAGGTAAACATATGCTGAAATAACGTCTGTCCTTAAAATGAAGCAAACACACAACCTTGTATAGTTAAAATTGTTTGTCGATATTTGCAATAGCAGCAAAAACTCCTACAAAGTCACAATGTTTCCACGCAGTAGGCTACTTTACATAAGCATTATGTGAAACATGTACTGCACCAGCTTGCACCAGTGTTTCTCCAGAAGACAAGTGGCCCAGAGGCTGCACATAATGGTTCAGTTTTATCGTGGGTGTTTCTGTGCCTGCAACAATATCTCATACATAGATGAAAACTAATTCTTGCACTGAACTGCTACAACACAGGGCTGCACACAAAAATTAAAGTTGATTAGTTGGTCATGTTTACCTACATTATCTTACAATGGTGCACATGTATTACCAAATAGTTTTAGTTAAAGGTTAACTGTGAAAGTAAATTACTGCATGTAAGAAAATACTTACAGTCTGTCACTGCTTCTCAAATAAAGCAATCTCTTTATGAAACAGTTCATGCACACTGTGTTTAACTATATGATATGTCTTTAGTAATATGTGTAAAATAATATTTGTAGTGTAAAACATTTGCAGTCAAGGCAAAATTAGCCTAAAGTCACACAGGGACATGTTATGTTGTTATTTTCATTTAAACAGTGGATAAAACACATGCCTTTGGTGTGAGAGGTTCAATCCACCAATGCGTCCCTAAGCAAGACTCTTAACCCCTAGTTGCTCCAGAGACGTGAAATCCATCTTACGTATAGAAATTCTAAGTCGCTTTAAAATAAAAGCGTCAACTAAATGAATAAATGTAAATTGCTGGTTCTGTAATGTTGTGGCAGGTGAAGCTTACTCAGCTGCAGTTGTACCAAGACAGATATGAATAATGGATACTGTAAGGAGGTTAGTCCTCAAGACATGCAGTGACAGCAGGTCAGTGCTACACTAGTATACTGATAATAACATTTCCACATTGACTTCATAGACAAACAGTAAAGATTAAGAAGTCCAAGATGAAATTTAAGATCCAACCAAAAATAAGCTGTCGTTTACATGTTTTGGAGTATGTTACCGGTGAAAAAACAAACTGAAAACCGACTAAACTGCGCTTAAATTTTCTTTGGGAATTTCACCACAGAAAAAAGGGGCTCAAATGTAAACACCTTTTATTTTTCTACAGTTAACTTCGCGAAATATTTTTTTCACTTTGTTAGACAAAAATGCAAATGTGCATACTGAATTTAATAAATTTCTCTCTTTGGCATGCATAAAAATCCGACAACACAGATGTGTGGAACGCTACCACAATTACAATCATATTGACGTTGACATACAGTACAGGTAGGACATAATCACATCCACTGTAAATACAGTTCACATATGTCATTCCTACTGTCTCTCAGGACGCTATGGAGACGTTATGGGCGAATAACATATGTGAAAATGTGTTTCAGAGTTCTGTTTCTCATTAATATCTCAGATCTGCTTCTTCGTTGCATGTAGTTGTCAGACAGTGATGCTTTTACAGGGCTGGACTTGCACGCTGAAATATCACAGATGGTCACACAGTTGCAATAAAGGTGTGATATTGCCACATGGGGCCCTTCGTGGAGCACCAGTGTCACAAGACATTCCACTTACAATTTCGAATGTAACACATACTGCGTGAAAAAAATGAACTGAAATGTTCAACAGTGCACTGAAATTATTATTATTATTTTTTTTTTTACAGACATTCACTCTATCATTCTGACTTTGTACATCAAAGGTGACATTTTGCAAGACACTTAATTTTACCATGTAGAGGATGAGACAAAGACACCAGCAATCTATCCACACAGGAAGTTATTTAGTGAGAATTAAAGTGCAAAAAATATAAGTTGAACAATCTTCTGCTAGGCTACAGCAAATTCTGCCTCAGTTGAACTGGAGGCCTTTCAGGAAGAACACTTATTGACTAAAAGTGTGAGGTGACTCCTCGCTCCATAACATTCAAGGAGTTTTAATTCCAGTGTCATTCAGATTCGGGTGGCTCAGAGATCTTAGCATGTCCTCTGTCGTACTTGGTCAAGTATAGAGAAGGACACAGCTTCACATTCAGGACCGATCATTTCATGATCTTAGCGAGACATCATTCGTACAAACTCTGTGAAAAGAGAGGGAGGGCAGGATGAGAAAATGCAGTAGTTGCTGTAAACTCCACAGCATATTTTAAGTAGGCTAAATAGTTTGTAAAAAGGGGTTTTACCTTCAAAGTCAACAAGCCCGTCACCGTTCAAATCAACATCCCTAAGGATATCTTCTACTTCCTTTAGACCCACCTGGGAACAAACAGTTGGCAACAGTTGGTGGAGCACCACACAGAACGGTTTAGAGACGCTCTGTTCGCTCTCTCTGATCCAAATCTTACCTGCTGGCCCAACAACTTCCTCATGGCATCTCGGAGCTCCGATGTGCTTATGGCGCCATCTCCGTTAGTGTCAAACTGAGAACACAAAAGCAGTAGAACAACATTAAAATTGGGAAAGTAAATAGTAGAATTGACCAGAGCTCCAGAAACCTGTGATCTAAATTTGAATCCAGAGACTCTTACCTCTCTAAACGCGTCTTTTAACTCTTTTATTCCAATCATGTCTGCAGTTTCGGCGAGGAGTTTTGGGCCCATCAACTCTACAAAATCCTCAAAATCAACATGACCTCCCACTTCAGAAAAAGAGATTTTGGCACATAATTTCAAACCACAATAAACATACAAGATACAACTATATGCATGACACGTAAATACATAAAACAGTTAATTTCTTACAGTTCATATTTATCTGTTGGCTCAGTTCAATAAGCTCCATCTCAGTGGGCATGTATCCCATGGTTCTCATACAGTTTCCAAGGTCTTTACAGCTGATGAAACCGTCCTTGTCCTTGTCAAACTCTTTGAAAGCATCCCGCAACTCTGGAGAGCAATAACAGAAATATAATTTTAATTACATTATTTTGCATATAGAAATACAAATTCTGGTGCCACATGTTAAACGCGTCCTTCTTTTCATTTGGCTTTACTCTTTTGGTTTGTTTTTTTGTGCTTAAATTTAGTAAAGACAGAGATAACTTTAAAGAAAGAGAAACTTACCGTCCATTTCTTCTGGCCGCAGCTCTCTGTCCTATTAAAAAACATAAACATTCAATCATTGGTCAAGTACAGAAACAAATTCAGCACACAACAGTCATCATAATCACACATCACAACACGAACACTCATCTGCGCATGAGCTACATGCAAACATACCACTGACAATGCTGTGACTCGAGTGATGCCCAGATCTAAATCGATCTTCTCCATATCAATCCTCAATCCTCAATCCTCAACTTAAGGATCCCGAAAAAAAGAAAGATGAACAGTAGACCAAGACTATCTCACATCTTGATGACAAAACCTCCAAGTATAAATAGGCTGATCCCTATCAAGCGTGACCGGGAACCAAGTTCACAGAAGAATGTGGCTGTTTCTGTTTTTTTCCAACGCTTGCTTACAATGAACACAACCTTTAAAGGGCAGAAGAGAGAGGCAGACAAATCCCAGAACGCTCATGGGTTAACAGCAAGAGCAATGAGAAGTCTAAACACTGAGTGATGACGTCAGGCCCGAACGACTGTCTGACCGGAACCACTGAAAAAACGCAGGAGGCACATGAGCCTAAGCAAGGATAAACAGCCAATCCAACATACCTGCACCATCGACACTGTATCTGCATCCACCGTCATCACTTACAACCACAAGTACAAAAGATTAAGGCCACTCTCTTCATGCAATTAACCTACTATCTGTACATGTACATTGATTTATCTGTAACCATTTAACAGTGTAGACAAGGAGATACACGACCTGTGGATTATGCAGGTGGGGTTGTTACTGAGTACCGGGAAATACGCATATTTGCTTTCTTGCCAAGTGTTAGATAAGATAGATTCCACTCACATGTCTGCACAGTAAATATTAAGCTACAGCCAGCAGCTGATTAGCTTAGCTTAGCACAAAGAGTGGAAACAGGGGGAAACAGCTAGCCTAGCTCGGTTTGAAGGTAACAAAATCCGCCTATCAGCATCTCAAGAACTCACAAATTAACAGGTCACTTCTTGTTTCTTTAAATGTCAGATACGACGACAAGAAATAGTCCCGCTTATAACGCCCTATATTGAGCTGACAGACATGAGTGTGGTATCAATCTTTTCATCTAACTCTTGGCAAGAAAGCATACAAGCAATTTTCTTAAAATGTCAAAATATTTCTTTGATGTTTTGTGCATTCACTATACAAAATACAGACATGAATATCTGTGAAAGGCAACAAAGGTGCATTTGCATCGCTACACCAGGTGTAAGCCTGAAATGTTCGAAACGGCAGATCTAATGTGAGTAACACATTTAATGAATGCTGTTGTATTTATAGGCATTGCATTTACTCTTGTTGTCGTTTTCCAAACCTGTGTGTTCCCTACTGACAGCCGGCAAGAAAGCAGTCAAAAGCAGTCAAAAGCAGCAGGAGTGGAAATAGTAAAATGTTATCATAGAAAAGGCAATGATAGTTGCTGTGGCAGCTTGTTTGATAATGATAGAAATCCAATCCAGGTTAGGCATAATGCTGATCTAAATGCAGACAGGTGTGGATAAAAAGGTTGTTTGTCCAGACTTACGTACAGCCTGCCGGCATGTGGCCATGCCTTTACTCAGGAAGACACAGGTTTGCCCCAGTATGTTGCTCACGAGAACGCAGTTTTGTGTCATGGAAACAATGGACTGCTGATAAGGCCCAAGATACACTGCCTGGCTCATCTCCTCACAGGACAGCACCCCTCTGAATCTCCTCTCAGCATCCTGGAGCATCTTTCCAGAGGGGTGCAAAGACAGTGTTAGACATCTGTAGCAGCTTCAGAGCAGAATAGAACAAGGAAAGTTGAGAGAGGATGTGTGACGTCAATGTAAACTCTCTACGCTCTTGAAAACAGGCAATAGATTAAATGCAAAGACCCGTACTTCTCTGTAAAGGTACTATATGTGTTTGCGTGTGTGTTGTACAAGTGTGTATGAGAGAGAAACAATGTTGACAGTAACATGCTAGAAAGGTAAATGCATCAATAACACAGCATGTTGCCAACTTTCCACTCATCATTCATAACAGTTTACTTGCCACGTTGGACGGACTGGCACCTCACACCTATACACTGTCACAGGAACAGTAAACATTCTCACAAGCAGAGAAAAGACAAGCTAAAGCAGCAGGGAATGGGCTACATGTGTTCGCACATCACACAATAACATTGTGCTCTGAAGACATTAGAACAAGTTTTCTTCTGTGGGACTGTTACGGAGGGGTATGTACAGTACATACAGTCCTTTTTATTAAATAGTTCCTGTTGAATGCCAAAGGTCTGCCAGAGTCTGAAGCCATTAATCTAACATGTTTAACAGAATGCACTCAAGAGCCAACTACGAGCAGTGCGGTTTCAAAATAAGTTTCAACTCATACAGTCATTTCCATTGCAAACTAACAGTGAGGATATTAAAACTCACAAAACACGTTGATTCTAGAATAATCATGACACATGCTGACTGTTTTTGAAAAAGCATATCCTACAAAACAAAAAAAACCCACAGATGAAAGGTGTTTTGGACGTTTTTTTGCAATATGATGACTGACTTCATCAGCATCCATGAGTAAGTTTGAGCAAAAAGAACAAATGCAACTGCACACGGCTACGCAAACTTATAGACATTAATATGGCACGAAACATTTCTGAGAATACAGCACAACTGTCCAGTTTCATTTACCAGTGCACAGTTTCAAATGCACCGTGCAATCCACCAGACAAATTAACTGGATAAAAAGACTAGCTGTAATAGTAAAACAATCCTACCGTTCTCAGAGGCCAGTCTAAGCAGTTTCCCATACCAAAGGAGAAAAGAGACACTGAAAAGGACCATGAGGGCTTTTTCTCCCTTGAGTTTGCAGTTTGGATTTTGAGAGGAGTGCAAACTCTGGTTTCAGCAAGACCCATGAAGACTGGGGTGCTAGCCTACAGCTGATAAAAAAAAAAAACGTGAATCGCACTGTACTGCACAATCTGCGTATCGGAGTAAATGAAAGTAGCAATAGTGAGAGCACCAGTGGCACACAGTAAGAGAGAGAGAGGGGAGAAATAAGAGTGAGGGTGAGAAACTAAATGAGCGAGGGAAGTGGGCCAAGGAGGGAAACAGAATTATGCCTATTAAAGGAAAAGTGGGTGATCCACTGTCTGTGAGATATTTCACCCACTGTCACACTGAACAAACTGTTATGGTTATTCTGTGAACAACACAACAGCTCAACATGGATTCACAAGAACCAAACATTAGAATAAACAAGAGAAATGGGTTAACGGCTACTAGCTTCCCTGTAGGAAAATATACTAACAAATGTGCACCTGACAAGTGACTTCAGGCTCACACGCATATTGTGAGGCGTTTGCTCTTTCCAGGCTATGAAAACCTGCACCAGGCAACTTTACAAGTACTGTCCTCTGTAATGATCTATTTTCAGTCTTGCTGTCTTCCTCACCTGCACAAATGCTAGTCTCATTTGTTTATTTGCAACCTTGAGATTGCATTTAAATTCATATATTGCACATTATAATTCTGCACGTGCCTGCATGTTTTTCTTGCCTTACACCCCCACACATCATCCTCTGCCCAAGGTCACTCTGACCTACAGCAGCCACATGGCACCAAAGAGAAACACATAAAGACGGACAGTGTGAAGAATACAATTACTGTATAGTCCATCTGTTACAGGGAAATTTAGATCTACACATGTGCAGAAGGAAGACAGAAAATACAGATAGCTAGCGAGTTAATTCTTCTATCTGCACAGAAAATTGGTGATTTATGGATGGTTTAAACAATTCTCATTCCCAGGTCCCATTTTGCATGTCAAAACACAGAGCAGTAAAAATCCACTTTACTTTGAATGCATTGTTCAGACAAAATGCCAAAGGCAGAGTGTGTATTTCTCAAACCATGCGATACATTTCTGTCCGCCATTGAAATCCTCTCCATCTAGCTGTCTCATCAAAGACCTTTTTCAGGTCACACTAATGTTTTCACAGAGCTGCTCGCAGACTGACTCACGGGTTATTTGTAGAATAGGCTTTCAAACTGTAAATACTAGATGACTTTAGAAGAAGTCTGATCTCCGTGCTCCCATACTGAGCCCATTTTATGGTTGAGAACCTCCTAATTCAGCAACATACGTAAATCCCCTGCCGATTCATGATCGGATGAATGTCCAAACACCCTACATGGAAAGAACTAAACCCTGACTTCTGAAGAAGAGAACAGGAAAATGCCCTCGACAATAAACATATCAGGAGTTCTAGCAGCAGGGCGCAGCTTTGTGAGGATTTGCAATGTAAAACTAAAACTGGTTGCTTTTACTGCCTTCTCTGTGAGTAAAAAACACATGCAAAATCACATCACTGATAAGAATCCGAGAATATTAAGCTGAGCTCTTCTCTTTTGTAGAAATAGATTTAAGGCTCAAATATAGAACCTCCATCTCCAACTGGAACATCAAAGTGATATCCGTCAAACGCAACGACGAAGGAACATGAATATATTTGCCTTTGACCAAATACACATTAGCACATCATATATTTCTACTTCTCTACACTAGAACATTGTATTTGTCCCAGCACCATCCAGTTTATTAAGAAAGAACTGCCTGATTGAGAAGGTCTGTAGGAGGTAGTACTTTTTTACAAATTACATAAGAAATGAATGTGTAGTAAGCTTTTCCCTCTCTTGTCTGTCCAGATATGATAGTGTTTGCGGACTGCATCACAGAGCACATTAGCGTTTATTGATTGCAAACCGGATGTCAGTGGAGCCAGAAGCCACAGTTAACCACTACATCTTTTGTTGAACATTTTAGATGAAGCCTGCCGCACTAGTGGCACCCATTCAAACTGGTTTACAAAACCAAATGATCCTCAGCCAATGCTTCTATTAATAGAATAGGCTCTTTAATATTATTTGGGATTTGGGTTTGGGGTGTCACTGTCACAGCTTGTCAGGGCCCCCAACATTTCCAGGGGCATCCTTGCACTTCACACACTTCTGACCAAACTGACCAAACTAATACATTCATCCATTCATCTCCCTATGTTTTTTAAGGGCCTTACCTGCCCAAACAGTGAATTGAGGATGGTGCGTAAATTGATATCAGACGCAGAAGAAGCAGCGCTGGACCTCCGGGAGCGGCGAGAGGACCTGCTGGACAGCGGGACCAGGGAGCAGGAGGACGGGGATGGACTGATGACCTGACCGTCGCTATTAGCCAAACTGGACTCTTTGTGGTCCCTCGGCTCACAGAGGGGAGCCCTGTCGTCGTTGCTGTCCGACAGAGAGGGCACCCTGGGGACAGGGCGGGTGTGCCTGTGACAGCGACGCGGGTGCTCAGGTTCAGGTGGTCCTGTTGCCGGTGGACGGTCCTCCCGGGTGTGCTTCCTGCGATGGTGGTGCCGGTGTGTGGGTTTGGATGACCTGCAGCGCTCCCTCACACTTCGGTCCGCCTCGCCGTTCGGCTCCGGCAGGTCGGGAACTTGGCTGTGAGGGGCATGTGACTTACACTTGCCCCGAGTGGCTGCATTATTACTACTGTCCGGGCTGCCGATGAGGGACGGATGGCACAGGGGTCTCCGGGCACTGATGTCGCACTCGGCCGACCAGAAGGACTCCTCGGCTTTGCTACCGCTCTGGAGTGCGGCGGGACGGTGGTGATGCTGGTGCTGATGCTGACTTCTCCGGCTCTCCGCTGTGCGTTCAGGGAGGTGTGTTGGTCTTCTCGCCGCCGAGGATGATTTCAGTAAGGAGGTCGTGGATTCAGATTTGGGAAAGGAAGAGCTCATTGCTGCGGATCTGGTCTCGTCTGCCTCGGTGGGTTGATCATCGACATGACAGACCGTTTTCTCTCCATTGTCGACCCATATTAGCATATCAGAGAGCCTGAGTTAGGCTACATTTCACCACCTGACTGCTGAGCGGCAGCGCGGCCGACGCGCGCAGACAGCGGAACCGATCGGGGCACACACGTCGCCGCAGAGCGCGTCACCTTTTCATTGATGTGAATGCTGGTCTCTGGCATCGTGGCGATGACGTAGGTGGGGACGGTAGTAAGATATAGGCTTCCAGTGGTCGGCAAACTTTTCCATGACACAGACCAACAGACAGACCAAACACACTGACTCATAAACTGTTAAAATTAGGCTTTTGTTGTTACAGAATTGAGAGGGCGTTGTCCACAGTGCGCAAAAAAATAAAATCATTCAGGGTTTAGAACAACACATCCTTGAAACTACTACAATCCAAATAGGCTGCTGTACAATAACTATATTTGTGAAGCCATTGCTGAATTGTTGTTAGGACAATGGCAGTAACGTGTTAATTCAGCTCTATTTTTATGGTTTGTGATGTCATGTTGCATAAGATTGTACTACTGTGAACAGATTTTCCATCACTTTTGTCCTCCCAGTGGACAAAATATTAGAGACATAGTATTGTATTTTATCCAGGGCCTCATTAACCTGCTATGGGGCCCCAGGGCGAAAATAAGCCCCCCCCCCCCACACACACACACATTGAAATGTGATTTGTGCTTGTGATAGTAGAAATTAGTTTAAGCACATGAACACATAATGTTTAAAGAAATATGAGACAGGGCCTCAGATTGGGTAAAAATGCAGGAGCCCTTTTTTCCAGTTTTAATTGTGCTTTAGTGGCAACAATTCTGTAATTTATCGAATTACCACTTTTAATAGTATTATTTATGTATTTATTTTATTGTAGATTGTTTATACCGATGGACCTTATTCTTTCTTTTAATTCTCAACTGCATATTTGTAGTTATTATCATTGTCATTATAATTTGTCAGTCATGGAGAAGGGATGTAAAGGCTGGTTGGGGTGGTGGGTGGGACGGGTCTATTATTAGAATTGTTCATTATTATCATGTATCTTTTGTAATAATGCTCAAAATGCCAATAAAATATGTTCCTTAAGAAATTACCACTAATTGCCGCACAGACAACCTGGGCCTTTAGGGGACCCGCAGACCTGGGGCCCCAAAATAGGTAGTTTGTCAATTCCTCCCAAAGTGACACATGAGCGTTTCCCTTACCAGTAAGTCATTAAACACATGGTTAACTTTGTGACACAGTCGCAGTTTGGTTAAGTTTAGGCAACAAAACTACTTTGTAGGAAAACATTGTGGTTTGGGTTAAAGTAAGTACATTATGTAAGTCACATGATGCTATTTAATTTAAACCTCAAATAACTCAACATTTGCTTGGTTTCACATGGGACTTGAACGCCAGCTCCGTCTTTACATGGACTTTCTCGCTCTTTATAATACATCACCTGACTTCCTCCTTTCCTTCCCTAATCAGCCACTCTCTTCATATACCAATCCACTTACTTTGTTCCTCTGTCAATTTCTCCGTTGCTTTACACCAGCGCCTTCAAACCTGTTACCTGGGACCCTGTCACTTGTACTCCCTGCCTCACAGTCCTGTAAGCTTTGAATCAGCTCTGCCTCCACCGTCTGCATTTCGGTCCTACTGCTGTGGTGACAGCTTTTTTTGTACAAAATGTCAAAACTTTCTGATTATTTTTATAGTGTAAACATGGCTGTGGTGAGAGTTTGAACCCTAAAATAAGGAAGAATAACATTATTCTTGTTTCTAAGTTAAACTGTAACAAAAATGCTGAAAATAACTTGTCTTTTATACAGTATGTAGAAAATTTCTCTCTGATCTGTCACATCTGACAGGTCATTCAAAGACATGGCAGTTGAGACTCAACCACTTCAATTCGTTGCCTTTTTTAGTTGCCTTTAAGAACAATTAACTTCTGAAATATTTCTGGCATTAACCGCCTCCTGTGCGGATTGAATATTATTCCTGCAAATGAGAACAATCTCTCAACCAGAGCTGAAGAACAACGATGTTTGTGTTAAATCGAGCAGAAAGGTTGGTTATGAATTGGTCAAGTCATATATTATATTTTGCCCTTGTCTTGTTTTATGAATAATGTAGAAAGTATTTTGAAAATACAGAATTACCCCACTCTAAAGTATCTTGTTAAAATTACATTTGAATAGTTGCTGCCCTGTGAAATGCCAATTTCAAAATAATTGAAATACTGCCACTCTCTGAAGACACTGTTTTTATTTAACACACCATTGCCTCAGCATTTTAGTGCCCCTGGCTCCCTATCCTCCAGGGGCAGTGCAGGCCTGACAAGAAATAACAGCAAAAACAGAGCAATGACAACTTCATTGCATGCCTGCGCCTCCCTGAGCAGCTGCTATAAAACTGCATCTAGCTGAGAAGATGCTACACAACTCATTTTGTCCGTAGAGCACATCATCAATACCAGAGCGGCATTTCTGCAGCAGACTTGATTCTTTTCTGCCACCGAGCTATTCAGCTCCTGCAGTACGTTTTCATCAGTATTTGAGGTTTAGTGTAACAGAAGTCAGCTGTGTGAAGCACCGTAGTTTAATGCAGAAAGGACTAAAGACCATGCATACAGTGTGAAGTCTACCTCTTGTTTCAGATCCGTGACATCTGCGTTAAGTGACACTTGTGACAACAGCTGGTTAAATAAGATACTCGACCATTTATTAAATGTACAGAAATACTGTTCAAAATCCACAAGAAGGTGTTAAAGGACAAATCCTTAATCCAAATGTAAACAAAAAGGTTGCCTCACCGTATACTGTGTGTATATCTAAAGCAAATGCTTTGGGAATGACAGTTTTCATACTCAAGTGAATTAACAGTGGAGATTTTTAACCTAATTTTGGACAGCTCAATGTGAGTGTCAGTGAAGTCCGATGTTGTAAACAGCTTGTTAATAACAATGTTTGTAAACATTAGAATTGAATAAATCTTGAATTGCGATGGACCTGTAAAGCTGCTGAAGATTAATTTTCACTACCTTTTAGACTACGCACATGTCCATGAAGTGCTGTTGAAGAATTAAGGAATGTGGCTTTAATAACGGATACCGTATGGCGCTGCAAAACTACAGAGTGATTAAAAAGAAATACGTCACAGAACAACAGAGATAGTACGTCATAAACATTTTACAGAATCTACAAATTGAATCTTTCAAAATGATTTCATGGCTGGCTTTGTGAGAACGGACAATGAGATGCAATCGCTTTAGCTGTAAATCAAGACAACACAATAGTTATAGCATTGAAGACAATCATTTCAAAACATCTCAGACCATCCATTTGTTTTTGTTTTACCTCAACCCTATTTACAGAAATACAAACCTGATATCAAATACAACCAAATTACAAGAGTTTAGTAAATTTACCAAAAACGCTTCATCTCCAGTTTTACAGCACAGGCCGACGCACACAATTTGACATAAAAATGTGCTTATCTAACCATGTCTCGTGAAAGCAGGATTGATTTTTATTTTGCTTTTTCCAAAGGGGAGCACAATAAACTACCACACCGGCAGGAGTCATGACAGACATTAGCTGCGTCTGTAAACATTCATGTCATGATCAACGTTGGACCTCAGTTATCAAAACACATGTGGATGGGTCTGCTCAGTGGATAATGATAGATGACATGAGAAAATGTCTTTCATATTAATCATTTCTTTAGCTTATGTTATCATGCTGTTAAAGCCCTTTCTGCAATGCATTTACTTTAGGTATCTATTAACAGTTGCCAGTTTAGTCATAAGGCCCCAATTGTCCATCCTGTCAGTAACACTAGCTAAAATTCAATTTACAGAATGACACTGCATTTGCACATTTATCATTAATCAGTCAGTATTAATAAAGCCACGGTGCAAGTACACACTTTTGATATCTGGCTTAATGTGTTTATAAGCAGTAGGTCTGAAATCAACCAGCACTGTAGCAATGCTCCCTTAGCTTAAGCTTTACTTTAGCAGTGATTTGATGTAAATAAGCACTACAATCAAACCATTCTGCACAAAAGAGTTTTCCTACTCATTCCTAAAAATTTAAATGTTCAATAGTTTGTGCCACATTTGAAAGTGGGATATGAAGAATGTGCAAACCCACTTACAACCGTGTCTTGGTTTGAATCAAAATTTCAATCTTCAGTGTGACTGGATATGTTGAGTGATCTAAAAATTCGAAAGATCAAATTCCTTAGCCCTTGTGGAAATGTATGCACGTGTTACAGTGAGTGTAAAAGAATTAGTGATATGTGTTAGATTTGAAGTGTAAATTTAATACCACCAGCACTTTACACAAAATGTTTTGTAAGTGTTGTTATGTTGGGGAAGAGTTCGGGGCCCATAAATGCTCACTCACTCCGGCTCATATATAGCTAAAAGAATAGTTTGGCCTATGCACCCACACATGCCGTGAAAAATAAAAGCAAGAGATTTTTGTTTGGCTCGCTAATCTCTGATGGACTTTGTTCTCTGTCAGCAGACTGTTGAATGGTTTCAAGAAACAACCGAAATATAACAGATGAGCTGTACATAGAGTCCTAGATAGAATTTATTTTGCTCCAGATTTTTGCTCCCAAATTTAAGAGGGAAATAGATTTAGTGTGAAGTGCTTGTTGGGCAAAAATTATGCAAATATATATGCAAATTCATTAAACATTCAACAATTTAAAATAACATTAAAATGTCCGTGCCATGGTATTAATACACATTAAATAAAATGGCTGCATGAACATTTGGGTACCTATTAAGTTTTGAAAAATGTATGTCCTTTCAAGTGTGGCTGTCTTTTACACAACTATACAGGCAAAAACATGTACATGATTGATAAAAGAGGCCCAATGTTTTGTCATCTGCTAAGAAGAGTTATGAAGAGATACTGTATGAGATTGAGAATATGTACACAGTGAATGTGAGAGCTGGTCTGGAGGCAGAAAAAGAGTTGCTCCCCAATCCTACAGAGACTTCCCTAAATGCCATCTGTCTCTTTGTCAACCCTGGTTTCTCACTCACACCTATTTCCCTTCCTTGTCCTCTAAGCGGCCTGGCGTAAAAATGTAGTCCAAGGCTTGTCTCTCGG